AAATTTTAAATAAAAAAATCTTTAATATTAGAGGGTAATCTTTTATCTAATAATATATATTTTGCCTTATCAAAACAAAAACTAATATATATTATAATCAGACACAATTTAAATTATAAAGTATTTTTTTACTTTCTTTTCAATTATGTTGTTATATACAGTATTTAAAAAAAAAAAAAACTCGTTACTATACTTACTACAAAGGTTAAAATCAATGGCATCTTAATATGAAAAATATTAGAATATTTTGATATTAAAAATATTAAGTATGACATTAAACCTCATTTAAATAAAATTTTGATAAAAGAAACATTATGTTTCATTCATCTTATAACTAAAATTGAAATTTTTATTTTTTTGTAATTAGATTTAGTTATTTTTATTTGGCTTTTAAATAAAATTTGACCAAATAATTTTATATGATAAATATATGGCAATTGAAATTTCTCTTTCTTTCTATACAAAATTTTTTATGAATATTTTCATTCATATAAAAAAAGTTTTTGACTGGCATTTATTTATCACATAAAATTATCAAGTCAATTTACACAAAATGAAGAGATTAAAACAATTAAAAAAAAAAAGCAAGAAGTAATATTTTTAATATTATGTTATCTTGATTTTCTCCACTTTGGACATTTTTTTTAATTAGTCTCCATATTTTACGTAGTATATGAACAAGGATACACATTCATTTTACGTAGCAGAAAAAAATTACTTGTTTTACCTAACTATTTCAGATATTATTGTTTAGCTCTTTTTTCTAGGGCTGTGAGAATTGACTTGTAGCAGAAATTAAATCACTAAAAGAAGAAATGCAAAAGGACAAACATAGGGGACATGGTTAGGGGACCAAAAATAATGTCATAATTGAATTGATAATATAATTAATAAATATAATTTTTATTTAATAATTAATAAAATAATTAAAATTTATTAATTAATAAGAAATTAATATTTTTAAATATTATTTTAAAAAAATTAAAAATTTAATTATATTGATGGTATTCAACATCCATACCCAAAAGTAGGTAATACAAACAATACAAAGAACCAACCAACCATGGGTTAAAGAAACAAACATGCTGTGTGGACGGGCTTGGGTCCAGTTTTTTCTTGTTAGAAGTGGACCAGTAACTAATTGGGTGACAGCGCTTTCATTGGTAGGGGACCTTTAATAACCGGGTCCATTTGCACAAAAATCTAAGTGGGATTCTAATCACAATCTCGATTATGGGCCTCTTTAATAATTCCCAAGAATCTATCCGCACCAGAATTTCTTTGGACATTTATTTTACAATTCAGTACTCTTTTTTCTTTTTCTTTTTTTTCTTTCTCTTTTGAAACTCAATTTAATCTCATTTTTTAAGTAACGAAACTCTTGATGTATTAAAGAAAAGAAAAAAAAAAAAAAGACTCTCACTATTAGGAAAGAATTTGAAGAAATGAGCCCCATTATATGATTGGGCCCAAAGAACGGCCTGATAAAAGCTTGGGCCTTACATTTTCCATTCACCCATTCAATCATATAACACCTCGTAATGCCCAACATAATTAATAACGTGTTAAGGTCCGTTTTGGTTGACAAAAAATATTTTTTAAAATAATTTTTTATTATTTCGAGTTTTTATTTTTTATTTATTATTATTATTTTTTTATGTTAGAGTAAGATTCAAACCCCATGCTTTAAACTCTTAAAATGAGAATCCCCTAACAATGGAACGAACGGTTGTTACTAAATCACAAGGACATTTTCTAATTTTTGAGTGTTTGGTAGTCCATTAAAAAATAAATCAATTGAAAATATTTTCAGTTAACAGAAAACACAATACCAATTTTCAGAAATTGACTTTCAAGAAAAATTTTCGGAATAAAAACATCCCGAATATTATATGCTTTGACTCCTTTGGGGATTCAACAAACAAACTATGAGGGTCTTATGTTCTCAATGAACGAAAGGAACCTTGTTTGACAAAATAGTTGGAATATCTCAACCAAAGCAAAGAAAGTAATTAGTGGAAGTTGTACAAAATGAGGTATGGGTTCGGCATAATTCTGATGACATAAGTTTCTGTTTACTTGTTATTATAAATGCTTATATATATAAAGCCAGTTCCAATCTTGAAGAACCTAATTAAGATCAAAGGGTTTTTCTACACTGATTTGCATGGTGAAGAACTGTGGTCCGTAGATGTTGAATTGACTTATGGATCGAAACTATAGGAAAGCTCTTCAATGCTTGAATATGTGTAGTCCTGTAGATCAGGTGTGCAATTAATTATCGTTGCATTGCTTCGTATGAAAGTCTAATCCTAGAAGCATTTTCTCTGTGTGTTCTGCAGAAAAACAACTGTTTTGATTTGGATGCAAAGATACCAGAAAAGCCACGTGTGCCTCCCATGGCTAAGTTTCGAGAAAAGGACTTGTGTCATGAAGCTACTGAAGATCTTTTTGTTGGTTGGTTGGGGGTTTGGATTAGAGTTGGCGAATTGTTGTAGGACAGAACCTAGTTTATGATCAATTTCCATTCCAGTACCAGCTATTCTACAGGGGAAAGGCAAAGGATCATTTTGGTATGAGCCAATTTTTCAGGTTAAAACTTTAGAAGGAGAAATCATTTGGAGGAGGTGTAAATATGAGGTTAAGAAAGGCAAAGTTCTCGGAGCATTTTACTTCAATGTCTTAGATAATAGAGTTATATCAAATGGGTTTTGGACAATTATGGATGTGTCTGATAATTTTAGCTGTGGTTTATTTCATTATGATGGTGCAACGCGAGTGGCAAGGCAGGCTGATAATGGTGCAGTACTTATAAGTCCTGATGGAGTATACCTTAAGGAGTTAGAGAGCATTAGATTATTTTTTGCTTTGGAGACGTGTGGAATTGAGTGGGAGCTATTTATAGTTATAGTTGATAATTGTCCATGCCATGATCCTCTACTGGGAATTCCTGAAGGTTCAAGGTTACATTCTATGATTAATGTAAAATACCAAAGTTGGGCTTCTTGATAGGGATGACCAACAGTATAAAGCTCATTTTGGCTTTAAACTTGCTTGTTCGGCTAAAAACTCATTTGTGTGTGAATCCGGGAGATGTTTTTTCTTACCCATTCAAGACTCTGTCAAATATGTTATGTGATAGTTCAATTTCTATATATTGGTTGGACTACCATCCTTCTTCTTCTCTTTTGTTTTTTTGAAAGAGGCTAATTAGTACAAAGTACAAACTTCCAAGTAGGTATGGGGATAATAAGTTGCTTCCTAATTGGTGTCATCCTAATAATGGCAAATATCATTTGGCTTGGAATGTGGTTGACTTTATTGGAGCACCTTCAATCTCTAAGGTGAAGGAAGTCATTCAATTCAATTGGCTTGTTAGATAGAGGGTGAATTGGCCCTTGAACCATATAATTCAATGACATATATAAGTTATTGTATGTATCTAGATTTAAAATGAATGAATCATAAGATGGGTTACAACAATTTAATTTGAAGATTTAAAACGGATGAATCATAAAATGAGCTACAACAATTTAATCGTGCAAATCACATTCCAACTTAAGTGTACAAACCCCGCTTGCTTGTTGGTAGACACCATTTCTCAACCAAGTGTTAGAGCTTGAGAGGTTCCCTTTTCCCTTTGTTAAGTAGGATCCTAATGAGTAAATACAGATGATAATGGTAATGAGTTTTACATCCTAAAAAAATTAAAAATTCAAAAATTGGGTCAAAATCCTATTAAAAATATTTGTTGGAAAAGATTAAAATATAACCCTCCTAATTTTCTTTAATATGTAAATATTTATTAAAATGAAGTAGTTTTAGGAGGAGAAAATTAATGGATCGTGTTAATCAGTTAGAATTTTTAAAAATTAAAAGGAAAAACATTAAAAAAAAAAACTAGGTTGTTTCCAAAATTCTCATTATGTGTGCTTATTTTCATTAGTTGGTCTATTGGCATTTTTAAAAAAAAATTGAATTGATTTGCTTAGAAATGAAGAATGTTACTTAAGTCTGTTTTGGCTTTTTTTCAATAACATAACTTATTTGTGAAGTTCAGTAAACAAGTTTGAGTTTATAGGCATTTGTTTTAGCGAGTCACTAGATAAAATTGGTTAAAAGCTTATATAGTAAGTAACTTACTAAAAGTTTGGGAGATAGGGTCATTAAGAAACCTAATTATTTTGATTACTTCTGAATTTTTTTTTTCTCATTTTTAAGTTCATTCTTATTATCATGCTATTAAACCTAAATCCTAATGAACTTCTAAATGATCCTAACTTAAGCTAGTTGACTAGTAAATCGAGAAAGGTATGGTGAGTCGATCGTATTTCTGATGAGCTTTTAAATGACTGGAACTTGAGCTAGTTGAATGGTAAAGCTTGAGCTGACTTACTATCCAGCTTTGGTATTTTTGTTCTTAAATGAGTTGAGCTTGAGGTACAATATTGGTTTGCTCCATTGATGGTTTTAAGTATCTCATGTGGGTAAGGAACTTTCAGACCCTTCATTTCATTTCAATGTTTCTATACCTCATTTATTAATGAAGATTTTGATTGAAGGGGATAAAGTTAAGAGTACTCAACTGTTCTGTCCTGTGTATTGGTGAGAATTGGAATGCTACGGAAGATGCTTTTTCAGAACTTATTGCTTACTAGTATGTTCTACTTCTCCAAGAAAGAAACATTCTCTATTTCATCCTTTCTTGTTCTCTAATTAAAAATTGGATGGACGGTATAAACTAATTAGGGTTACTCTATATGGTATATTTATCATATACTTTTAATTTTTTTAAGAGACCAGCTAGTTACAACTCTTATGGGGAAGAGGACAACTGAGAGAGAATGAGAGTTCTAACCCTAATCATGTGGGTATGGATAAGAAAATGCATTTTTACTCATAATTTGACAAATTAGTTTAGGATCTTCCTCATTTATCATATACTTTATTCATCCAAATTTGACGTGATTTAGATTGATGATTTTCTTTGTAGTGTATTTATCATATATTTTACTTTATTCACCCCAATATGACATGATATAGATTGGTTTTCTTTCTTTTCATTAAGATTTAATATAGATTTAGATAGCTTGATCTGAATATAATACAGATAGAACCAAAAATTATTCTAATTGTTGGATCAAGTGGATACTTAGAAAAGCAATATTCAAATTAAAAGCTTTGAAATGGAAAGAGAGTAGTACCAGACAATACCAGATTCTTAAATTAGTTTTCAGATTTTATAAAATCCAAGATTGAATTTGAAGGTATGGAGGTTCTGATCCAGAAAATATTTGTGTAATTTAGTTAGATAAAAATATTTATTTAATAAACATGTTGTGCATTTTTTTTTTTAAACATGGGTAATATTTGGTGATGGGGATTTTTTAAGTTCTAAATTCCAAGTCCCAACCTGAAGCTTACGCTTGAGGAGTGAACCAATGGATTCGACGGGATTGATTTGTGCAACTATTTTGGAATAATTTTTTTAGTTTTGAGTTGATTTAATTAATAAAATGTAAAGAATTAGACTTTCAACCCAAGTGTTTCACCTCAAGTTTTAAAGCGTTTGAATTAAATGGTAGGAGTTTTAAACCCCACAAACACCTTGTAAGTTTAAAAAAAATTTTAAAAAATGTAATTTTTTTTTTTAATGTAACAAAAAATGGAATAATCTTAACGTTGGCCCCTAAACTAATTCATTTGTTCTAATCAAAACCCTTTGACTTTTATGTCAATTAAATTCTTGGACTTTTTTTAAACAATTATTGTGTTTAAAATAGAGATAGTTTCCTTATAGAACATAATGAATCACTAATATTATAGTTATAATACTATATAAACTTATAAATTTATAATTATAACATAATATTAAATAAGTATGATTTGATATTAAATGAGTAAAAATAAATAATATCATAAGTATATTTTTAAATAAAAAATATTAATTAATTATATAACCATACATCATATTGTAACCTTACAATACCATGAGATATTATAATTATAACATTTTTATATATATATATATAAAAAAAAAAGAAATGGTTATTCGAAGCACTCACAAGTTGAGCTAAAATTTAAAAAAACAACATAAGTCTACAACTTATATTTATAGAATTATTTGGGATGTCTTTAACATAAAATAAGAAACAAAATTCTAAATCAAGCTAAGAGGAAGTCTCAACAACTACAAAATCTAGTTTGCAAGCCCATCTTTACCGTATAATGTATCTCCTTTGAAGATCTTCTTATTCCTCTCTTTTCATACTAAATAAATAACAATAATAACAAGAACTTTCACATAAATTTCTTAAATTCATTTCCATTTAATGATTCAGCCACAAAATCTTCTCTTATAACCTATAGCTTTCCTTCAAACCAGGTTTGTTTAAGGAGATGTTGATAATTTGCATTTTAATTGTCAATTTGGACCAAGATTAACTTTAAAGAACCTTTTTAGAGCAAAAGTTAGTGAAGGGCTTAGAACAAATGAATTAGTTAGAGGGCCAATATAAAGATTATTCCAAAAAAATTTGTATGATTTGCATTTTAACTGTTAACGAAAATGTAAAAAGACGAAAAACCAAGCACCTTCACCAACCTTCTCCTGCAAAGTGCAAACTCAAACACCTTCCCGCTGGATCAAAAATTACAAAGGTAGAAATCAATATACACTAACTGAAACAGAGAAAATTTGGACAGAAGAGAGATATCTAAATCCTATTTCGAATCGCAGATATGGCGATTTTCCATTGAAGAATCTTCTGTAATTGTTCCAGGTTCTCTCTCGAACCTCCTTTCTCAGTTTCAGATTCACTTCCAAGCTTTTTCCTCGTATTTCTAGGGTTCTTGTTGCATTTCTTTCTTGATTTCTGTTGCAGTTTGATTTAGTGGTCTTACGCAATTATTGATTTCTCTGTATGTAGTATCATCAACTGAGTTTTACTTATCCACTATACTTGAAGCTACGTGTTGTGTGCATTTCTTTTGTTTAAGTTCTGTTTGGCTACCGAGAAAAGTGGATGGAAGGAAAAGAGGATTTACTGTGACGGTTTCAAAACTATTTATATAATTCAGTTAAAGAATTGGAAATGTATAAACTTACTCTTTTTATTTGCATATTTTGGATGCTTCTTTTCTTCCTTGATTAACTGCAGTTCTATTTGTTTGATGCATTGATGAAATTTAAACTGCTAGATTTTGGTATGGTTCTTACGTCCTCCTTCTGTTCCTTCATTTACTTGGACGATCAGGATGGATTGTTCTTTTAGTGGTGAGGGCCTAGCTATACTTCAGTTGCATAAATGGGACCCCAATGAGTTGCAACTTGACCTATCAGAATTTCGTGAGGCTTTTTTTTATCTCCAACAAGGGAGTTACTGTTGTTGCTATCCTATCAACACCAGGCTTTAAAAGTTCCCCTTATAACAGGTTAACATTATAAATTTATCCTGTTTTTCTGTCTCTTCTAGACTGCTAAGATATGATAATTTCAGCATTTGGAAGTACTATTGTGGGTTTTCTTGTGTTTATGCTTCTTAATTATGCTAGTTCTAGTGTATTGGGTGACTAAATTCTGATTTCACTTTTTTTTTTTTTTTTGTTTGCAGGAAAGTCTGTTGATATTGATGTATCAGAAAGTTGTTGTGATACGAGTCTAAGAAATTCAGATTCAACAGCTCTGCTTGCAGGAGTTAACTTCATCTAGTAGGTCAGATTTGAAGGACAATATTCCATGCACTTCCGGATCAGCAACGGATATTGATAATTGACTTTTCTCTTGACTGTAATTTTTTAAAATCTAATAGTTTCCCTTTTCTTTGTGACGTAAACTCATTGGCTTGGGGGTTTAGTGGGGATGTTTATAACCAGCACAAGTGTGGTTTGTTTAGAGAACTTCTTTTTGTGTCAGGCAACCAAGGTGTGATGATGGTCCATGCCTTCTGTCATTGTTTTAATAAGATTGCAGAGGTGACAACAGCACTAGATTGGGGGTTTGGCCAAGGAACATGGAGGGAGTGGGGGCCTTCCTCTGCAACACCTTAAAATATCAATGAAGAGAAGCCTATTTCTCCATCTTGTGAAGCCCCTTGCAATCTTTTAGATAAAAGTGGAGCCAACGTTTGTAGAGGACCTCCCAACAAGACAACATTTGTAGAACTTTGTGTAAGCTCGTGTACGATATTTTATGCGGAAGATGACATTCTCTAATAACAATTAGCACTAAGCACTCTTGAAATACCAAAGCAAGCTTGAACTAATTGCATTTCCAGTAAAAACATTAAAAAAGATATCAATTCAGTGCAGGGGAATCCTTCTACTTTCCTTTTGGTATATAATTTTCACTTTTGCAGAAAAAATTTATGAAAATTTATTCATACAGATAAAAAGAAATTTTAAGAAATGTCAAAGGACGCCGGGTTTGTATACTTAGTCATGTTTTACAGTTGGAGGCTTAGGGCGTCTCTCTGCAAGTAACCGTTTTGTGCTTTCCAAGACGCCGAAAAAGATTGAACCGCCGATGCCTATCCACATTACTCTTGGTCCGATGCCCTGCAATGAGAAAAGAGAATGGATGAAAAGAGTATAACATCGATGCAGGTCCAGCTTCGTTTGGCAGAATGAAGGGAATAAAATGAGCAGCTAGAGGGAAATTACAAAGGCTTTGTCTAATCTGCGCTTTAAGGCACTATATATGTAATTAATTTTACGTAAATTTTTATATAAAATTCATATACTTTTTTTATAAATTTTGAGTGCAAATATTATACTTTATTTTAATTTTATATTAAATCTGATATAAAAATATCTATAAAATTAATTACAGATATTACATTTAATGAGGTTTAACATGTGCCTAAGGGCACAAATTAAAAAATTCCAATTATGAAAGGCCTCTTTGCCAATATTTGTTTCTTTCAGCTTGCAAATCATGGCATTGGTGCTTCCATAACATGATGAACCAGGTATTCCCGGATGCTCTTGAAAAGAAAAAGCAAGCGTTTGAGATTTTATACCTTCAGAAGAGCAGATGGTCCTTCCTCCCTAACAATTGTTTGAACACAATTAAAGATCCCCTTGTACTGGTTTGCCGATCCCTAAGAAGAGAAAAGGCAACTCAAAATAACCTTGATGGTATACCCTAAACCATAAAAAAGGAAGGCAGAAACAAATATATAAAAGAAAAAAGCTATACCTGAACCATTAATCTTGTCTTGATAACATCGAGAGGAGTAGTTATAGCTCCAGTTAATGCACCTAAAAAGATATTCCATACGATCATTGTGATTGGACAGTTATAACATAACTGGATTAGAGTATCATGGCTTTCTAAGCTCACAATACTAGACTCAAAAGAATGTGGCTAATTTGGTGTACACTAGATAAGGAAGGGCAGCAGGGAACATTAAAATGACAATCATACATGAATGTGGCAAGAAAATGGAAGGATTTTGCAGCTGAAGAATGTAGACTTGAATATGATTAACACATGCAGTGCAGCATGTAAACGTACCAGAAAAAGCACCAATTATAGCATTCTCAGGATCATTTAGATCTCTCTGTGCCTGCCAAAAGAGAAACAAATATGGTAATTATTAGTGCAAAACTAATTGGAAAGTCAGCTGTGACGCAAAATACACTCTGAATTCTGGCCGTCTGAAAGCCACAACTAGAGTCTAGACATCAATTCGGTCAAATTTAATTTGAATTGGTTAGTTCAGGATATCAGCTAACCTAAACAGAAAATTACATGATACTGCAAAGCTTTGTGCTTATTAAGGTTTAAAGACTTTTCTGCAGCTACATCTCAGAAAAATACCAAAAAGAGAGGAACTTATCACACATTCAATTAACATATCATGCAGAACACTTGTGGAAAGCTCAAAATGCAAAAATTGATGAGTACATATTGAACAGGTAAAGAAAAAGTATGTCAGGAATTGATGGGAAAAACAAAAATTGAAAAATGAGGAGCTTACCGCTGCCTTATAACCAATCCGGAGTTGCTCATAGATACAAAATTGAATGGCATCAAATGGCAAATCTCGCAGTAGAAAAGATCCATAACCCTGAACCCTCAAAGATGAAAGTCAAGTCACAGACACACAGTAACTTGTTGCAATTTACAATAACTGAAGGTATGCCATGCACAAATAAAAGAGACAAAAACAAAAAACAAACAACAACAGACTGCTGAAAAGGGCATTTTCAATGTACCAAATATGGAAGCAAGATTAGATTCTTAAATATTCCAGTATTTGAATGGAATCCAAAAAGAGGGCAGGATTAGTTACATGTCATTTTAGAGGGAGAGAAGAAGTGACAGGCATCACATACCGCATAGAGACCCTTAAATCCCTCCTTTGATACAATAAGGTGCACAGCATCTGGAGCTGAAGTGAACTGGCCAGTCTGCATCCTTTGTTTAACAACCTAATTTGTTATTGGGAAAAATTAAATGAGAATAGAGCTTATAAGGCAGTTTGAAAATGAATATGCATAAAAGGAACAAATTCTACCTCTGTTGGTACACGGATTAGTGAAGCAGCAACCCCTCCAATAGCACCTGCAGTCTGCAAGAATATCAACAACCTTAATGCCAAAGTCTAAGTTTTGACTCCTGTGAAACAGGAAAAGATCAAGGAATTTGCTGGACAGGTCATCACTTCAATTGAAGTCTCCAGGTTTGCTATGGGTGGTTGACAAGATGGAAAGTATAGAATATTTGGTTAAAGATGCGTACGAAATTGCTGATAAAACAAAAAAGAAGATGCCTATGAAATCTACTCATACATGCGCCAAACATAATACATGCATATATTGGCAGAAGGAATTAAAGAATCTCACCAAGTGAGCAACTGCACTAAAGTTTTCAGGAAACGTCTTCAGTAATTTTTGTTTTGTAGGTTCATAGACACCAACAAATAAGGCAGAAGCCCTGTACATAGAAGATTTATTACCAATCAATTGGAAACCCCACTGAGTAGGAATGCATATCAACAATACATTTCAAGCATAATCAAGAATGGAAACACAAGAACAAATAAAGAAGCTAACAGCCGTCAGGAAACTACAAGAAACCTGAAAGGCACACGGCATAGAACCAGAATCCCTTGGCAAAGGGATTGGAGAATATGACATAGGAGTACATTAAAAGATCATAAGTATTGCTAGGGGTAAAAAGGGATTTCAAACAAACAATAGAAACAGAATTAATTCTCAGTTATCAGTTGTGCAGAATCTTCAAAAGTAACACACTATGGTGATTAGGACATGCTTAAATTATGAGAGATATGGCAACTTATGCAATTACAAGGTACTTACGGTAAAACACCAGCAAGATTCCCAGCCAATCCAGAATAAAGGCCCTTCAGAACTATTTTACCTCCACCATGGGCTGCCTACACAAACAGTCTTGTGACAGTTCTATTGAGGGAAGTTACAGTACAATATAAACAAGCTCCAGATATATACTCAGATTTGTAGCCACTTACATGACTGAAGTAAAAATCCTCTTCTTTTTTTTTCTTTTTTTTTGTTTTAAACCAGGAAGAAAAAAACATCTTAATCTCAACCAAAAGAAACACAGCTGCAACAACATTTATTCATTTCATATTCCTCTTTGTTTTTTTATCTTGTACATACATCTTGCATAAGTCAAGACAAACATTTGGAATTTAACATCAGACAGGAAGCAGGATCCTCAATATTGATTCTAACACTTATCATTAAATTTACAGCATGGTTCACCTGCCTGCAGCCGTGTCTTTATTGTATCAATTGGATACAAAACTGTTTCAACCACAACTCCAGCTGTACCTCCTGCTATGACTCCCTCTGCAAAATTTAATCAAATCAATATTAGAAGAGAATTAAAAAGAAACATACCATAAATTCCCTGAGACCATGCCCTTCAGAAATATGAACCATTAACTAGTTTTTCTGTTGCCAAAAAAAAACTAGTTTTACTAAATTTGGCAATTAAGCACCAGTGATATTATGTTTCCTCTGCCAAAACATGTATTATATACCAACTTGCTAGTGCAGAATTCAGGTTCAAACCATCCATGCAGTAAAGGGTAGTCATGCTCGGGAAAAAAGAACAGGACTTCATAGCTTATTAAAAATGGAGTAGACTGGTTGATGGAGGAAGTTACAAAACAAAGCATTTGAGGAGATAAGAATTATGTTAAAATGGTTAACAAATGTCCGCAGTAAGACTTGCATGTATAGACTATGATTGAAATTGGACAGTTCTAAAATTGTGAAAACTTCCTTTAGAGGGGTTTTTTTTTTTTCTTTTTTTTTCTTTTTTTCTTTTTGGCCAAACTACAATAGTTCAAATACAAATTTATATTTTTGCCATTAAATAATATCCCTATCTAATTTCAACACTAGTTCATCCTATCCACAGGCACCTAAAAAGTGATTGTTGCACATACCAAGTAGAATTCGTAAGAAATCAAAAGGTTTTTCTTCTCCCACATTGACTGATGCAAAGCTTTTTCTTACTTCCAGCTGTGTGTTTTGTATCTTTCTACTAGATACATCTGCAAAACCATACACCTGTTCAAAAATATAAAGAAAAGCAACAATCCTACAAAGAAAAGAATGCATTATCTGGTCAAATCTTGTACCATTCTAGAACCCTAGATACATTCTCCCATGTCACTTAATAACACAGACACATATGCAGATTTTTGGCTAGGGATAAATTGTACTCTTTCTTAAAATATCAACAAACTCAGGACAACAACTAATGCACTTGTACAAGAACATTAGAACTACTCTAAAGCAATGTCATTAAACTTGAACCAATTCCTACACCGCCTAAACCAAAACTGAGATAACCACAACCTTCAACATCCAACAGCAAAGTAAAAAGGAAAAAGAAAGAAAAAATTAAATGTAGAAACTTTATAACATTGACATAAAGTAGTCTATTGATAAAGTGGGTTACCTGGAGAGTCTCCAGAAGTGCTTTTGGTATCCACAGCTAAAGGACCCATAAAAGGAACAACAATGCCGAGCTCCTCAATCAACTGAATTGGATCGAAAAACATATATTACTCGATAACATCTTGAAAAAATTGCAACTTGGTGGACGGATCCGGCAGAGTTTCTACAAATTGTAGCAAAAATTGACTAGCAAATATATGGCGTGTTTATGTTTACTGAATTTACCTCAAAATGTGTACATGCGAAGAGGCTACCGGAGAGCGGCAATGTTAGACTGTGGGGAAGCGACGTTGGAGGACGAAGGGCTAGCCGCCCGTTGCATTTGTTTGACGATGGTTTAGGAAATTACAGAAACACTCCCCCCAATATAGCATAATTGCACTTATCAAACTTTTCCTCATTTTCTTTACAAGTACGTCCTGAGAAAGGTTTGGACTCAGCCGGAATTTTTGTGGCCAGTGGCTATGGCGGTTTCGGTTGCTCGACTAAACGGAACGCTTTCGCAAAACTGCATCAGAAGGGTGAAAGAAATAGAAGAGTATCAGAAATCACTGAAATGGATAACAGCAAATACTAGTAGGTGAAGTCGTTTGAAGTGAAGAAAAGATGATGCCACCCAACATCATCGTTGGTCAAATTGAGGAACGGGACTTGGGAAGGTAAGCATGGTGCCCAATTATGATCTTCTGAACTTGAGAATATTTGGATTTGTTTCGTTTTAGAGATTCTTAGGCCTTAGGTGATTACACAAATTTGGTATTTTTATTATGTTTGTCAGTGCTTTTTCAGCAATGAATGTGACTTCTAATTCGTGGAGTTGAGTTTTGTATTGTTGATATTATGCAGCATGATTACAACTAGTAACCTTTAATCATCTTGAATTTTCACTTATTCAGAATAACCTTGGACTTGAACGATAAATGACCTTGGGTTAGGTGAATGTTAATTTTTTTTCTTGTGTTGGACTTGGGAAAAAGAAGTATGAGGGCAAAATAAAACTAAAACTAATCTTACTCTAAATTCTGACTTTCTTCTTCTCCAGCTTCTGGTGGATTTTCTGCAGTTCATGAGTTTGAGAAACCCCATAATGAGAAAGCTCCAAAATTGATGAACTCTTGTGCAACTGCTGTATTAGGGGGTATCCGGATATTGTTTTGGCATATGGATATGGTGATGAGTACAGTTTGCTTGATTTGTTTGTGGGAACTTATCTTAACTTGGTGTAACTTCTAAGTACTGGGTTTAACTTTAATGGTTTCCTGTTGATTTAATTTATAGTTTTGTTTTCAAGAAGTCATCCCTGTTCTACCAAAGGCGGGGCAGGTGTTATTCTTCACTTATAGCATGGAATGAGTTGGTGCATTGGAAGTTACTTTATGACATTTCTTTTAATTAGCCTTGAATTGGTTCTTTCTACTTTAAGTTCTATTTAAAGTTGGATAATTTGATTTCTACAGTGAAATAGTCTCCGCCATGGTATTGTTCTTTACTTCAGCGTATGTGACGAAATGGAGAGAATTTTCTTCCCCAAGAAAGGGTTGAAAAATCCTCCGTCTTTTGACAGATGGGCCGTATGCTATCCATCATCTGAGATTCTTGGAGATTATCTGGCCTGGAGACAAAGTTAATTCTGAGTATCCTTTACATATGGTATGGTTTCTTTCTTTCTTTCTTTCATTTGAACTATTTTTCCTCTTCCCTTCTTTACAGATGTGGTAGTTTTCTGCTTCTGGTTGGTGGTTTGTTGGAGAGTAGAATGCCTGAAATTATTGAAGTTCTATGTAGATACCATGCCAAGCAGTTGTTTAAACATTGCATTTGTAGTAAGTGTGATCTTAAAGCGAATGATTATAATTTTTTTAATTTTTTGTGATTTGCAGGCCATGTCAATAATCAGTACAATACCTGTTTCTGTGCACTTGTTAAGTCCAGAAAAAGCAGGTGTCAAGCTCAAGATTATTTAAAGGTAGTAATTTTTGCCAAATTCTATCTTCTTGTTTCAGTATTTGTTATATTTAGCATATTGTTTAGTCATCATCACCATATGCATGGTGAATTTATTAAATGTGTAGGCATTTTCATTTCATCTCAATCCGTGGTTTTTACTGATCTTTTACCCTTTTTCTCCTCCGTCCTCCTTTCTGAACTTGGAATGGTACCCAAGCACTGGAGAAAAATGAATTGCCGAGGAAAGAATTTGGAATCTGACCATGATACATTGCCAGTCATGTTTAGGTGGGGTTCTTCAGTTTTCTGACCCAAGGTTGCCTTTCCTTCTCACTGAAATCTGGTGAAAGAATTTTTATGTTTTCAGTTAAACATCAATTAGATCTTATCTACATGATCCCAGTTTCTGCTTTAATTTAGCTTTCATACTCCTAGCAAATATGATGTCAGGTTTCAATGTCTAATGCTTATATAAATATCATATGACACAAGACTCATCTCTATTTCAAGTTTCCATTGTTATAATCTTGCCCTCTGTTTAGGACAAGAACTTCTCATCATATATTTCTCAATCTCAAAGGCAAAATGAAAGCGTAGAACTTTACCTAATGCATTGGTTTGGCATGTATTCTTTGATCCCAAGCTTGGCAAGGCATAAACATAATAAAATTCTATAGATACTTAAGCTTCTTGAACTGATAAATTTCCTTCCATGCAGTCTATGAAGGCTCAGAAGCTTGAGAGAGGTGCTTCTGTTGAGAAACTCCAATCCGAAATAATCGTTGATTTCTGCAATACAATTGATTATAGCTTTTGGGAAGAACATCCAAGGGTACTTGATGAGGAAGCTGACTAACCCATATGTTCATTTTGTGCTCCTCTGAAAAACTTAATGCTGTCTCTTTCTCCCTAGCTTTGGTATTCATGAAAATTTTCCTAAACTTTTGGAAACATTTTTATTGAATTTAAGAGCCGTTCAGAAAGTAGCCATTGGTGTTCTTTGATAAAAGAATATCATATTCAATTTTTCAGTTTTATTATTATTATTACAAAAAACCTGTTTTACAATTTAAATTATAACAATTATTCTTGAATTAAGAGAGGGTTCTAGGCCCTCTCTCCCCATCTAATTATCCATGTTTTATAATTTTATACAAATAAAATTACAAAACAAAAGCACTTGACCCTTGAGGCCTAGTGGCATTAGCCATCGGTACATTCCCTCTCCGGGCAGGATTTGAAACCCGCCCCTTGCAAAATATGTTCAAAAAAAAAAAAAATTACAAAACAAGAAATCCTTGTTATTATTATTCACAGTTTTGCAGTTAAAAGATGGCCTTTGCCCCAAAGCAATATTGCAGCGGAAATTTGAAGCTTAATCGTGAAATTATAAAATAATCCTACAGCCCCAGGAGAACATGGGTTAAGTGGCCACACTATTATGACCAGTGCAGGAAGATATGCGAACAGCTAGAATTTGCTATGGTTTTCTTCCAACATAAGAGTTTGAACACGAGTCTTGACAAGTACAAGTAGATAGTCATGATGAGACAAACTAGACCTAGTTTTCTCCTAAATATCATTTCCTCCTACCCTTGTGAGCCACACGAGCCTCTTTTTGAGAAGTAGATGATGAAGACGATGACCTATTATTCTGTTCTATGTCCTTGTAAAAGGCCATCTGCACTTCCTCTTTCAGTTCCTGGAAGCGCCTTTTCTTGATATTTTGCTCCTCCAGAGTGCCTTTCTCAAGGAGTATATCATCATGTTGATAATCTTCCAAAAACTTATCAATCACTTCTGAGCAATGAGGGAAGTAGCGTTTACCCGTTTCAACTGTTAGATTGGAAAAGCTACTTAGTACTTAATAAATCAATCTGATTTCCAATGAAAAAGAATACAAGGTAAATCATACCTGTTTCAATTAGGGTTTGCAGTCTCAGTTTTAGTCTTTCAGTTTGCACCGAGGGTGTCTTACTCATGTTAACTTCTCCTAAGTTCCCACTTAAGCCTTCTGATCTTGATAATTCAAGGCTGGCGTAAAAGATCGTGCTTAATTCTGCACCTGTAGCGTCCATAGCTACCTTGGCTTCAGCAGGAAACAGCAGCCGTGCAAATGCAACTGCCACAAACATAAGAGTACCGTTGGCACTGAATTAAAAAGACAGGACAAGAGGAACAAAAATCTAAGGTATACTATTTTAACCAAAGTATAGATTTGAAAGGGGTCTCAGTGATTGAAAGTTCATCTCACCAAGGTTCTTTCCAACCTTATACAAGTTTCAATTAAGCATGCAATGGCAGCATTTTATCTATACCAGTACATCACAAAAAATACCTAAATATACTTGACCTGGATATTAAATTCTTAGAACCGTGTAGAATCACTGAGTATCCTTAAAAGAATGAGGGCAATAATACATTACAGAAGCTTCTTTTGCAGCTTTCAGAACTACATATCAGTAAATTCTGAACATAATTGCCAAGATATAATCTGAATTCTGTGATACATGAATGGTTTGATATACTCACGGATCATTGGTTATCAAAAGAATGAATCATGTACACTGGACATCAATGTCAACATGAATAAATGAATTTGACAGCAGAGAACTAAAATAAACTAACGGACACTGCCTTGCAGAGGATTTTTATGGTAGAGAGACAGTGATATAAGATAGGGAAAGAAACAGAGATAAATAGAGGGATATATAAGGAAAGAGGTACGGAATGAAACATGCGTCCCACGAAGGTTAATGTGTATTAAGTCACACAAACACACATTCTCACTTTCACATATATGCATCCAAAGTCCAAACATAAACCATGCATAAGCATAAAATTGCACCAAATTTAGGCACTAGTTGAACAGTTTTAAGCACTAGGGAAGTATTTATTCAACAAAATGAATGGAATCAATTGCAGAATATTTACTTAATAATGCATGGTAATTAGCTTCAACATGTTATGAAACAATACTCAACCAGCAAACCGCGGAATGACAACCAAAAAACTTTAATAAGAGAGACCTTGCCTTTAAATTCAGGAAAAGTTATGGTGCCTCTATATTTTAATTCAGAAGTTGTAGTCAATGACACCTAATAATAACAAGGCATTGTTTAACGTAAGAATCTGAAAACCCAACAGCATCCTTCGCTGCCTTCTCAGGATTTTAGACATGATTTGTAGCCTGGCTGAGAATTCTTTATGCATCTAAATATCTTAAGGGACATTAAATCTAGAAATTAAATCTATTGTTTATGTACTTAAGAGATGAACGAAGTTTATATTAGATCATAGGATTTGGCAAGCAAACCACCATGTTGTAACCAAAATTCTTTTGACAGAAAACCGAAGAAGAAAGGTGGTTAGAAATCTCGAAAAGTTTTCTTCCATAAAATATACAGAAGAAGAAGCGACTCTAATTTTTCTCATCCATAAGTGATATTATATATATATATATATATATATTGATCAAGATAAACAAACTGCATATATAAGTGAATATTACCTCTGTCTTCCAAGTAATCCAGTTTCGTGTTCAACTTCTTGGCTATCACCTCTGATGAGATTGAAGAATTCCCAGAAATTGAATTTGTCATCTCCCTTTCCAAGACATCAATGCATAACCCATTTTTGTTGGATCCCCTCCGGTTGTCGTTATAATCCTTGGGACTAATTAATCTCCGACAAATGGACAAAGCATTTTGGCCATCGGGTGTTGCTTCAGATACACAGGCTCCTTTAGTCAACAGTGCCACCAACACAGATAGCTCCTTGCGCCTTGCAGCTACATGAAGCACTGTATGCCCTCTGGAGTTTCTGAGATTGAGATTAGCCAAACCAAGATTTAACACCCCCTTAACAACCTTAGGATCACAGTAGGCAGCAGCATAGTGGAGTGCATATGCATCATCCAACGAGACATTAGATTCACTCAAAAGAAGCTTCAACAATGCAACATCATCAGAATCCAGTGCCTTGTGAATTTTCCTGATTTTTTCTGCATCAAATAAACAAGGCTCGGCCACTTCTTGAGAGCTGTAACGCATTGATTTAATTTCACTAAAAACTTCATATGGAAGCTCTTTCTCTAAACAAATATTATCAAGATCTGACCATGCTACTCTTTGATTGCAACGAAAGAGAAGCTGCTTAAGCTGACAGTGGAAGGCAGCCACGAGAATTGGGATTACATCTTCTGCAAGAGCCATTTCGACAAGGTTGAAAAGATGCCTCTGCATGAATACATTTTATTTTAGTCAGAAACCACATGTCCAAAAATGAAATACAGTAATACCACTAGCATTGCCCCCATAATTCACATAAGGGAAAACTGATTTTCCCAATTACAAGTGGAAGCACAATTTACCTCAACAAGCAAAAGTAGATCTTTCATTTGAAAAGTGGCAGAAGCATACATCAATTCCAGGAAATAATTGATAGCAGGACCGCACGCATCATGGACACAGTTGTCATCCACACAAGTTGATACTTCAGGTGGGGGTGGCTTAAGCTCCGCAGTATACATATAGTATAAAAATACACTGAAGGCTTCATATCCGACCCAACCATGAGGCAGCAGCTCAGACATCAGATACCTTGGTTTCCCTTCTTTCACAGAGCTATTGTTATTTCCAGTCCCCTTCTTGAAAAGATCATGAAAGAAATGGCTCTGTGAAGCTAAAATACAACGATGAACACCTACAGGGATGCCCCCAACTACAATCTCAGCATCAGTGTAATCATACTCTGAGTCAATTAATAACTTTCCAAGATTGACACAGAGCTTGCTAAGCCTCAAATTTTCAATACTTGCTACAGGTTCTATACCTGTGGCTCTGGGGGCTAGGAGATTGTAACTACTAGAACCATTTGGTACATGAGAAGAGGAAGCAAAGTTGAGGGAAAATGAAATTTCATTAACATTTTCCATAACTTTGAATCACCAGACAAGCAAAATGACCCCAAATTCAAGTGCAAGAAGAATTAAAAAGAAAAGAGAAGAAATTTCTCATCCCCTCCTGATTAAGGATGTCAAAATCCATAACAAGAGAATGACAAAATAGAAGACAGTAGAAAGCAGGAATCAAAAGAAGACAATATCTTGACTTTCTGTTGGCGTGGAGTTCACTCACTGGGTAGAGACGAATCTGCCACGAAACTGGTCCACTGAAATGATATGATTTTCTTTCTTTTCTTTTCTTTTTTTCTTTTCTTTTGAAAATAGTCAATGGAAAAAGATATGCTTTGCCTTTTTCTTTCCCTTTTTTTTTTTTTGCATAAAGATGCTTTATTTAGTGTAAAACGACACTTGAAATACCAAGCCAGTCCAAGTTGTAGGCTTCAAATCTTCGGAAGGTCGAAATTAATTTATTTAAATACATTAATTTGAGTCTTTAAATATATAATATATATAGATTTTTTGTGATAAAATAAATAATTAAAATAAATATATAATGATAAAATTAAAATAAGAGAAAAAATATTTATTTTAATTTGAGACAAATTTAAAATTAAGAAGAAAATAACAATTATTTTGAATGAAATGAGTAAATATTAGTGCTTACCATTTGAATTTTTTAAAATTGAAGAGAAAATTTTTAAACATTAAAAAGAAAAATACCTTAAAACTACAATGTCATTTCATTAAAATATTAAAAAAACAACAATAATCCCATTTTTACTTTAAAAAACAAGTTATTTTAATTTTTTAAGAAAGTTTATCAAAATGACATATGTTAGAGTGTTTTTTCTTTTAATTTTAGAGATATTGATTGAAAAAATGTTTCATTAATAAATTTCCTCCAAAAATTACTTCATCTTAATAAAAATTTATGGATTAAAGAAAATTAGGAGGGTAATATTCTTTTAGGGGAAAAGTGTGTTGTTTTAAAAAAATTAAAAGATACAAAAATCTTAAAACTAAGTTATTTTAATAAATTTTTAATAAAATAAGTTAAAATAATAAAAACTTATTAAAAAAACTAAAATAACCTACTTTAAATCAAAATTCAGTTTTTTATTTTTTATTTTTGTAGTATTTAATAAAATAATATAATTTTAAAGTATTTATCCTTTTAATTTCTTAAAAGCTCAACTAACAAAATACCAAAATTGAGTTTGTTTTAATCTTTTTTAACAGTATTTCGAGCTAATTTTTTGAACTTTAAATTTTTCTCAGAAAGTAAGACTAGTATCATTATTATGGATATGTATTCATTTAGGATCTTATTCAAAAAAACGCAAAATGTAACCCCGATTGAGAAGTGGTGTCCACATTAAGTTATTGTAGTCCATCTTATGATTCATCTATTTTAAATTTTTTTTAGGTTTATAGTCTTAACTTGCTGAACTACATATATAGAACAACTTATGTTATTGAGTTGCACGGTTGAAAGGGCAATTTAGAATTTACCCTCTGTCTAACAAGCAGATTGAATTGAATGACTACCTCCACTTTGCAGACCAAAAGGAGTTCCCGTATAGCCAACCACATTTCAGGCCAATTAATAACTGCCATAATTGGGGTGAGACAAAAGAAGCAACTTCTCATCTCCATACCTACTTTGAAGTTTATGATTTGCATCAATTACCCCTTAAAAAAAAAAAAGAAAAAAAAAAAAGAAAAGAAAGAGCAATCCATCCAATAGATAAAAATTGAACTATCACATAACATGTTTGATTAAATTAGTGTAGAGGTAAAAGCTTATGAATTTGAGTATTAATATATATAGATAGAATAGGTTAAGAAATAGCAATATTTTGTTGGTCCAAATGGAAAGAATTTAACTTCCCTTAAATAAAATTTTGTGAATGGAAAAACAAGCGTTGGGAGAATCTCCACCCTAATAGGATCCGATGCGGCTCAATTTCGTATTAATTGAGACCTAATATAATTAACGGATACCAAGATATTATTACAAAAAAAAAAGTTTTATTTATTAGTGTTTAACTCAAAATAAATAATAATAATAATAACAATAATAATAATAATAATGTGAAAAGAAAGATGGGCATTGCATGATCATATGTCAAAATGTTAAGGTGGCATTTATTTTTAAATATTGTCTTTTAAAATACTAATTTTGTTTAGTTAGATTGTTAAAAATAACTTATAATTATAATTATCAATTGATAAATGATAAAATGCACTTGGTCTTTCGGTCCGGTAACCTCAGACCACTCGTAAAATATATCCTCCCTTCTTTAGAAAATGGTTCGAATTCGACCTTTACAAATTTATTAAAAAAAATTGATAAATGATAAAATAATTAATATTTATTATTTAATATATTAAAATTACTTTATACATTGATATTTTTAAAAAACATAAGTACTATTTAAAAAAAT